TGCCAAAAAAATGTCTGTGAACAACAGCATTAATGTGTTATATCACAGACCTAACCAAACAAAGTAAGGTTGGGTCTGGGATGAAGCAAGAGCTACAGGCCCATGCCAAAGGCATGAACTATAGCTTGTTAAAGAGATGAAGCTATTACTGATCACAGGTTGGATTGATGGATTGCATTGAGCTGCAGCACTCCAAATATGAGTGTGCCCTGGTGCTTATAAAAAAGATATTGTTCATGAGTTGAAAAGAACTATATAATCACATGTTTACCTTATAATGGAGGGATTAAAAGATAAAATATTACTATGTACAGTATTAGAGCATATATGTGGTATTTTCCTACATGTGGAAGGGCCACTCTCAGAGTCATGGCTTTGCCAACTTTTGATGGCAACAATCAACTGGAATTGCTACTTAACCACTAGCTCAATATACATAATGGAAGTACTGTTAAAGTGGAATTAGCATATAGAAGAGGGTTGCCAGTAGAAAAGCAGGGTATATGCATAGTAGTAGCATGTAAACTACATTTTGCTACTAGAAGTGCATTTATGAGAAACACTTGATTTGTTTGGCTGTAGTTTTAGGTATGGTTGAGTGAATGGGTGGCAGAAGAAAATCTAGTGTAAATATAAATAACCTAATGAACCATCTGCTTATGCAGAACATTCTTCTTCAAAAGTGAGACAAGTTCAATAGTGTTTGAGTTGTCTGAATCAAACTGGTCCCCAGTACTATGAAAGCACAAGGCAAGAGTGCAATGGTCATGAAGATATATAACTGCTAAGCTAAGCCTTCTCCACCCTAAGCATTAACTGAAACATAGGCTCAAACTATTTAATCAAGCACCTCTGGCACAGATATCAGTAAAAAAAGATGGCACTCATAATGTGAGTGCCATTATTGTTGAGTTCTTGTACAAGGACTCAAACTTTGTATGCTAGAATTAAATGAAATGTAACTAAAATCTTTTTAACCTTAGTGCTGCACCCCCACACCCCTGCTTGAAGAGAAAGCTCACCTAAGCAAAAGGCCAAACCTGCAAATAGATAAATGCATCATGTGATATGATGACAGATTCTTAGGATTTTTATCAGTTTTCCCAGTCACTCTATATCAAGTACATGAATCAAGCTTCTCTATATATTGCTCTTTCTTTTCTCTGTCTCCCACCTCTATCTCTCTTCTCTGTAGTCACAATCTTTCTCAGCCTCAGTGTTCTATATTGTTACTATATGTAATCATTAAGTTCAACACTAAATCAGCAGTGGACCACCTTTGTGGCCCTTGTTTTAGCTGAAGCTGAGAACACTAAACATTTAACTCTAAGCAATAACTTGAACCTTGCTAACCCTGCATGCAATGTTTATTATGTATACATATACACTGGTATTTTTTTATACAGTAGTTGCTATTGTGATTCTCACACTATTATGTTTATAACTATATACTAGGTATGTTTGTCTAGTCCCATATCAATGTCCAAGCATGCATGAAATCTGAACCATAACAGATGGGCACTAACACTACAAGAAATTAATTATACAGCAGCATTTAAGATGTAGAATGAATGTAACAAATTGAGAAAGTAGGTGGGAAACATGTGATGTAATGCAATCTAGATGATAAGCATTGCAAGCACCATATGAGACTACTCTAAATATATTCCTAGAGATTCTGTGCATATCAGCAATTAAATGGCACTCACAATGTGAGTGTCATATTATTAGAATCACAAGCATGTATTACTTGGTGTATATATGCTTGTGTACATGGCATACAATTTGTGACATTGTGACACTGGTGTCACACTGTGACACATTATAGTGATGAAAGTGTTTTAGGAAATTGTGAGATAAACTCTTGGTCAAATAGCATAAAATATGCATCATTTCAAAGGTGTATTATAGCCAAAGGGCTCACACCTTGTTCATTAGTCATACAGACACTATAGTAATCCATAGAGGGAATTATTCTCTGTAAAAATCCTTCTTAATCAATCTCAAAGTCACTAGTAAACAAGGAAATATAGAGACAAATAAAGAGTTGTGAGATGCAAATATACATGATATAGATAATCCTACTGTGAAAGGGGAAAGATACAAACATATTTGAGAGTACTATTGAGGTGGAACAAAATGTCACATGTGACATAATACAAAAAAAAGTGTTTTCTTGTCATAAAATCAGAACTACTGCACCAAATCACATGATCTAAGTAGTTCTGAGTAGCCTATGCATATACCAAGAGCTCACAATGCACAAATATAGTACATAACCTTATAAAACATCACAAAATTACAAAGCATGGAAGAAAATATGTAAAAAATGCGCTGTTCATTGATTGTACACTAGTAAGGTAGGATAAGGTCATGTGACCTTCTTCATTATTGTGAGCTCTTTATAAGGTCTTTATCTAACTGAAATACTGTCACACTTAAGCAATTCAACCACTTGATCATCAACAGCACTGGGATATTAATAAAGGTGTATGAAAATAGAGTACTAATTCATTGTGTCCTGTTGAAACAGGATCAAGTCACATGACTTACTTCATTGTTGTGAGCTCTTTGGTGGATGTCTAGTGACCCAAAATACTCTTACACAAAATAAATCTAACCACTTTCTGAGCCAGAACAATGGTATTTTGTAGAAAACATATAAAAATGGGGTCTTTAGTGATTATGTGGTAGTGAGGCAGGGTGAGGTCACATGACCTATTTCATTCTTGTGAGTTCTTGGATATATATCTAGGAACCTTAAATACTGTTACACTTAAGTAATTCAACCACTTTCTGACCCATAGCACTGGGTCCAAATCCTGGAAGTTTTAGCATAAAAACTTCGGACTCATATACTAGTAGCACCGAGGTTGTCTTCAATCTCTCGGATTAACAAGTTCACGCTCCATACTCCTTGAAATGGACTCTGGCCATTGCGAACCAGTGTAAGCAAGTGCTCACCTTCAAAGTCGCTTCCATCTGGCATGGAAGGCCACTCGTCTGGAAAGTATTTGACCATTCAGAGATCTTTATATAACATCCCCTGTCATGACAAAATAAGCCTGATTGCTCAGCGCCCTACCTTGAGAAGCTTTGATTTTTCTCCCACGTCTCCTCAGAGTATCCCTTCGGCCCTTCCATCACCTGTGTTTCCCTCCCTTACGAGACTTAGAATTACTGCCAACTTCAGTTTGGAATTAGGGAACCAACTCGTCAAATTCATGAGCTCTGGATCTGCCTTATCCTCTATATCAATAACTACCCAACGGTGTGGCACGGTTGGCTCGTGATGATGTCAACATGCCCAGTTTCTGTGGTTTTCCGTTCCATAAACAAGTAACGGATGGAGGCAGTAGCATATAGGCTTTTGAGTTCTGAGCCACATATTTTGGCATCTCGTGTGCTTGATCATCATGTCCCGGTGCAGCACGTGGACACCAGACAGAAAGTCCCCCAGGATATCCTAGGCCGTTGACTGCTTTTGTTCTAGAAGGCAAAGGGTCAGAATAATGTATGGGTCTGACCTTAGCCAGGATGATTGCATGTGTATCAGCAATTCATTTCATTGCTGCGCTGATTCTCTTGGTGTTAGAAAGCAGCCAATATCTGCGCTTTGCTATTTGAGTTCAACTCCCCATTGGACTTTGCCGCTGAATGGTTCCTTGACCACCTCTTTGAACACAAGCCAAGTCTCTCCCAGCCCCCATTGCTCCTACACGAGAGTTCTGGTTAGCCATACTCATATCTAAGATCGAAGCAACTATTGGGAATGTAAGTGACATGATCGGGTGGGAGGACGATAATGGTCCCATTGCCACCAAAGCCAAAGAATCTCTATTGTGCCTTGTTCCTCACATATTGCCTGCTGACGATGAAGAGTCCTCGTTTTATTGCATGGTATTGGATCACGGTGATTTTGGGATCCATAACGTGTTGATCACAACAGATTCAGTTGAACACAGGCTATACCATCCATTTATTATAACAACAGCCTGTACTTACAGCATAGTCATAATATAACTAGCGTTGTAACTACAGCATCACCAATTTTCAGTCAAATATTTTGCCAATTGGGAGAATCAAACCTGTGACCACTATCCCAAAAACAACAATTGATACAACCATAACCAGTTGACCACAGAGCCTTAGTTACAATGCAAACTTGTTGTGATAAGGGGAGCAAGCTCCCCTTCAAAATATCCCTGGAACCCTAAGCATGTTAACAAAACCTTAACAGAACCTTAACAGAACCTAACCAAACCACTAACTCCCTAACTGTAACTCTAACTGAACTCTAACCAGGCTAACCATGTGCTCAACAGGCAGGCCTCATGAGTACATAGGCCTTAATGTGTTGAATCTATTATTGAGCTTGTTAGTTCAATGGTTGTATTGTGTCTTTCTTCCAATTATGTCCATTAGTATTAAGGTTGTTGGTTCAATTCTCTTTGGTTGATTTCTTTTTGTCCGGTTCAACATTTGATGCTGTTGACAATTATCACACGTGATTGATGTAACAAGCAGCGCTGTAATTACAACTGTGGTTATATCAGGCTTATCCTGTCATGACAGGAGATGTTATATCATCCTGCCAGCATCAGGTGTTGAACAACCACTGATTACATCGATTATGACTGGGAAACAGGGTGCATCATACCGGCATCCTGTCCGATCCATCAATAGCCGTTTCTGTTAATCTGGTGGCAGATGAAAACGCACTATTGACTGTACTCCCTGTTTTAGTCTTTCACTCTGGGCACAACTGACTGAGACTTTTGTCTCTCTCACCTGTACCTTTCATCCAAACTTATCCTTGGTTTGTTTACCAATACCACCTCCCATCAATTAAGCAAGCAAATTCTATCGATATGTGTGGCTACTGGCCCAAGACTTGATATTGCAACCCCCACAAGTTCTTCCTATAGTAGTCCATCAGTCTGACAGTAGCAACGACAAGGATTGTCTCTCCAAATGGAATGCAGTGCGCATGTAGTACATCAGATATGGTGTAATGGCTAACGTTGCCGCCTCTCACCGAATTCCACTCGAAGTTTGGCCACAGCAGCTCGGGGTTCGATTCCCTGTATCCGAATCACCTAGGTCCCACATTCCGAATTTTGCTGTTGACAACACTTTGTCTTTTCTCCTAAAAACAACCATGAGCTCTTGCCCTTGATAAACCCAAGGATAATGCCATTGATACAGATCTTACTAGTGTATGCGCTGGGTTAGTTATTCAATAATCGGATCGGAGATGGTGTAATACTTATTGCCACCTCTCATCGATGTTCCATTCGAAATCGGATGGAGACTTCGATTCCCCGTTTATGAATTATCTCCAGGTGATAGTCACACAACTAATCTTATCTTTTGTTCTAAGAAAGAACATAGTGCGTAAGCCGTGACGATCGGCGCTTCTTGCTCCAAGTACCACCACCATCCTACTGCCACCCAGACTCACCAAGCAGTGATTGAAGTAACAAGATTCATTGCGTTAGCACACTAATTTATTTTCTTCTCCGAATGACTACATGCCCGGAGCCCCGGGTAACCCTGGTGACGATCCTCCTTCCTCCCCGACTTGGATTAAATCCATTCCCCCTCCAGAGGTTCTGTAGGGAACTCTGCAACGTCAACATCACATTCCCTGAATAGGGTCTTCAACTCTTCTTTGCTTAACACCTCCACACCTTTATAATCCAACAACTCCAGTGTCTCAAGCCTTACGAACCAAGGATTACTTATTTTTGGGAGCCGCTGATTCTCTATAGGATGCTACAGAGCCTTCTTGGGGCACGTTCAATTTCACCAATGGTGACACTATTGTCACATTAGCCCAAAAGAACGGTCAAATTGTCCGAGGTGAGTATTATCTATATATGGCTGAAATACACCACATTTACATTTCCAGGACACACTTGTGTATGGCACAATCAGCTGCCCAGCTGGGTCACTTCTGGAGGTGTTGAAAATCACAAGCATTGTCGCTAATCACTGTGGGACTCTCGTCAGTCACTATAAAGGACAAATGTGAGGGTTTCCTATACCAAGTGAAACTTTGCCTGAACTTTCATCTTCAGATGTAATTGCCCCTTCTCATCTAATCCATGATTTTACTAACCTTAGTTTCTCGAAGATAGCTGGGATGTAATCAATGGTGAGCATCAAGTTTGTCCATGTGCATGACTATACTGAAGATCCTTCAGGAACACTTCAACGACGATGGTACATGGCAATCTGATGTGTTCTAGGACACTATGAGAGAATAGTTCGTCCATGTTGCCCTCCAGGCAGCCCGCGTTGCGGATCCCGATGCGAAACTTTATGTATGGTGTCTCCTTGCTTCCAATTTACATATTTTCTAACATTCATGTATTAGATCAATGACTACAACATTGAAGGAACTGGCGCCAAATCGACGGTTATGACCGATCCCGTCAAATCTCTGAAATTATCTAGAGTGCCCATTGACGGCATCGGTGTACAAGATCATTTGATCATTGACGAAGTCCCCACTTACTACTCAAACTAATTTGGAACAATTTGCGGCCCTTGGCGTAGAGGCTGCCATTACCGAACTAGACATTCGCATGACACTGCCTGAGACCGCTGCGCTTCGGGAACAACAACAGAAGGATTATCAAACTGTCATCGCGGCTTGCAAAGCGGTCACTGGTTGTGTCGGCGTTACCATCTGAGACTACACTGACAAAGTCAGTAAAATTCCAATAAAATAACAACCAATAATGTTAAACGTCGTTCTAGTACTCCTGGGTTCCCGGCACTTTCAATGGTCAAGGTGCTGCTTGTCCATGGGACGCGGTAAGTGCTCTTTCCCATTGATCTAGTTTTGGTAGTCTTTCTGATCAATTTAAATACAAAAATACAGAACCTCGTCAAGAAGCCTGCATACGATTCGTGTATACTTGTTGTTTCCCGCCTTCAAAAAGAATGTAACTTGAAATTTATGCGATCAATCTTCATGCGTGATCCTCGCGGGTAAGCTACCTACCTACCTACCTACGGAGTGTTTTGGTGTCTGGTTAGTTCTCCGGTCACTACTCCATGGGCGCAATCAAACCACCGTAGAAAATATTGCTCCCCCGCAATCCATCCAATGACCCTGGTCGGTTCTGGCATTGTCTTGCATATCATGTTGGAACCAATGGTGCCCAAGATGGCGCCACGCAGCATGTTCTTGAGGCTGTGCGATGTGATAACCAACTAACACTTTGGTGGCGTTCAACCCTTGAACCTCTTTGACATCAGTGTTAATGACTCTGTAAGATTTATCGTATTTTGGTAGCACTACTTAGGCCTTAAGTCTCATCAGAAATTCTTGAAAGGAAGATACAAATGAAAAGCATCAGTTGACATACCAGATTTCTTGTTATATTTTTCTCTGGGTGGGTCGGTAGACATGTATCAACAGAACCACCCCACACCAACACTCGGTTGGCTCAAGCACTACAGCTCCTATGGTCACTTTCACTCAAAACAACTACCGCGTTTTTTTCTTACCAACATTGTTCCTAATATCGCGGTTGATGCGTGGGTCTTGGTCTACATGTATCGATGTATTGAGATGTACCCACCCACCCTCACAAATGATTCGGGCGACTTAACGCTGGCAAATGAGAAGCAGCGTATTCAATCCGTGCTGTTTGACATTGTGAGTGAAAATTTTTTTTTTCTTCGAATCGGCGGAACACCCCTCGCATCGTAGGTAGACCTGAACCTCTCACCGAACCTTTCCACTTCCAAAAATTTCGCATGCATCAACCAAAGAGCGTGCGTCCTGTATGATGATTAAAGTCTGGCGCTGGATTTGGATATAGAAATTTGGCTCTGGGCGATTCCTACTATCATGAAACTATAACCTGAAAGAAGAGTTAAGACTAGACTCGATGATAAGGATTAGGAGAGAATGAGTTGAATATGAGGGGGGGATATACGATATATAACGTCCCAGAAAAACCAAGAAGCATAAAACTTAGAACTTAAACCGCCCTCCACCGCCTCCAGCTCCAACCCCCCTGATCCCCATCCCCGAATCCAATCCACCCCCACTCTGAGCATCCCGACCCTCGTCCCCATCCATCTCCATCCTGCCGACAACCTCCTGCGATCCCTGACGCACAAGCACCCCCTGCGGCATCCCACTCCAACCCGTGCTGCCCGCACTCATAGTTCGCCGCCCACGCGCCCACTGCCTCCATCGTCCACTCCCACCCGTGACCCCAGACGCACCACTCCCAAGCCCCTCCAAACTCGTCAAAAATGCCTCGTTCATCTTTGAAAGACGCGCATCAATCTCGGCTTCGGTGGTGAGTACTTGCCTTTCTGGCGGAGATTGGGGATGTGCGTGTGCGTGCTCAGAAGACGAAAGCTCAGCCTCAAGATTCGTGGAAGAACCTGACTTGGACTGAGTGCTCATTTGTTTCGGCTGCTGTTGCTGGAGCACTGTTACCAGCTCCTGATCTCTATCACTCTCGGCCCTGCACTCACGCCCACGCCCACCCACTAACGGCTTGCGCATGTCAATATCCTGCACGAACGCTGATATATCCTCATCGTCCGTGCGTACTCTATTCCCAATCGATGATCTCCCGTTTCCACCTGTGCTGTCTGTACGTCGGGGGATAGGACGCGGGAACGAGGGTGATGAAGGCGAGGGTGATAAAGGGCGCGGGGACGTGTTGATAGGCGCAGGACGCGCAGTAGATGGTGAAGACGTCGGCATCGATGGTGATGACGGCGAAGACGGCGTGGCGTAGCGGTGTCCGAAAGAGCTCGAGTAGCGCTTACGCATGCCAGGTGCGGATGTGGAGCTGGTGCTTGTGCTGGTGCTTACGGCGGGGTCCTCGGGACGGGAGAGCGATGTCTGGCGAGGGTGGAGCGGTATAGGCCCCGTGCGTCCTGCTGGAGAATGCGATTGTGAGGTTGGATCGGGGGTGTGTGGGAGACTTGCGACGCGCTCGCGCTCGTGCTGTGGAATACGGGTTGTGAGGCTCGATGGGTGACCGGAGGCAGACGGTGAGACGGTGGGGAAAGCGGTGGAGGAGACAGTGTTCGATTTGAAGGGGAAGGGGTATCGAGGCCGGGGCTGTTGGGCTTCAGAGGTGTAGAATGAGCTGGAGGGGGAGAGAGAGGACGTGGAGGAGTCGGGCTGTTTGAGGACTTGAGCACGTGTACCAGTGTGCAGCTTGCCCAGTGATGAGCGTGGGAGAGACGAGGGCTGGCGCGGAGGCGATGGCGACGAGGAAGAGGCGGCAGAGGCTCGTGCAAGAGTTGGTGTGAACGGGCGCTGGTCCTGCGAGAGAAAGCGTGACGAGAGGAGTGACTCGAGTTCGTCGAGCTGGAATGCGGGATGGGCGAGATACGTCGTCGACAGCGTGAACGAGCCCATCGGATGCGGCAGCGCAGGGAACGTGTGTGTCCTGGATTCCGCGTCTGCATAAAAATGAGTCACGCATATTACAGTCAGGGACATGACTCACTAGTGAGAGAAAGGACATCAGAGTCATTGCCAGAGCGCACTCGCAGTGTGATGCCAAGACTCGCCACGCGTCTCCGCAGGCGTTTGTACAGCTTCCACGCAGGCAGCACCCTCAACAGCGTAAACAAACTGCGGAAAAGAAGAATACAATGTTTATAGATAGTCGCAAGCGGCACATCAGCCGGGGGTCCGGGGACAACGTCAAGAACGAATGTCTCAAGCAGCACAAAGCGTGGGACCGGCTGGATCCGCACACGCGACGAGTTGGGCGGCAGGTGCACCAGCACCTCGTTGTGTCCCAGTGCCGGGACCGTCAGCAGCACCTGGATCTCCAGCCCCGGCGGGGGCTCAGCCTTGTACAGCTCCCGATTGTCCTTGGTGAGTAGCTCAGAGTCAGGGTTCTCCATATTAAACTACAAAGCCTGTTTTCGATACCAAGTCAGTGAAATAGATAGCTTCACGACGAACCCATTTATCAAGCTTCTGTGCAGATGAGGGGCTGGTGTTGCGCGCCTCGCCGACGACGTTGAAGAGCTTGGTGTAGAGATGGAACATAATCTGGGCCCGCTGCGTATCAGACGAGCTCATGGTCG